AATACCAAGCGGCTGAGGTTTTCGACTTCGGCACCAATCTCACCCAAAACATTGTTCCACAGCTCTTCCCACTCCATGGCAATCTCGACTTGGTTCTTGATACCCTTGAGGGTCTGCTTGATCTCACCCCAGCTCATTACAATGTCTTCCATCTGGCTCACGAGGGTGACTTGATCTCTTGTAGGCAGCAGGGCAATGTCTGAGCGCGATTGGAGGTCTTCGATAGCACCGATGTAGACATTGACAAGTCCCTCGAACTTGCTGATTGCGGTGTCAACCTCGGCGAGTCCCTCTCGGCCAGCAGCAGCGGCCCACTCGACATCGTCGTCGGCGTCCAGGCCGCTGAGGACCTCCTTGATCTTGGAGACCCATAGACGGATGTCGTTGGCTGCCTTGTGCAGTGCGCGGGCGGCCTGGGTTGGCGAGGCCAGGGCGGTGATCTCGGAGGCGATGGTGGTAGGCGGCAGCTTCATCGAGGTTAGCTGCTGGATCTGGTTGGTGAAGCTAGCCTTGGAGAGGGTATAGATGGAGCCGGCACGCGGGTAGTGGCGGCGCTGGAAGTAGGACTCGATATCGATGCCATTGTTGTCGTCGAGGACGGAAGCTTCGTCGGGGTCGGCCAGCGGCAGTGGTGGCAGCGGCGGCGAGTCCTGTAGCGGCGGCGAGTCTTTGGGCGGCGGCGTTGGGGGTAGTGTGCGTTCTGCCTGGATGGGCAATGGTGGTAGGAGGGCGGCTACCGTGGATGGTGGTTGTGGTTGTGGTTGTGGTGGTTGCGAGGGGCTGATGATGGGTGCCTCTTGTACTGTTGATGTGGTGGTTGCAGTTGCAGTTGCAGGTATGGTTGCTGGGGGTGTTGTTGTCGCGCTTGTGATGGGCGATGTCATTGCAGTTGCGACCAGCGTCTGGCCGAGTGCTTTTTCGGGCTTGGTGACGTCGGGCAAGCGATACTTTTGCATGTCGAGCTCACCATCGGCATCCGACTCGGAGGGCAGAACCTTGTCGCTGGTGCTGACGACACTGCTGCGGTCGCTCTCAAAGTCGGGCTCCATGGTGAGAGCTGGCACGCTCCCGCCCGTCGACTGGGGAATGAGGGGCGTGAGGGTGGGCGTCGACTGGCCAGGCCTTGCCGTCCACGCAGTGCCGCGGCGCTCGATGTCGAGGTTGCGGGCTTTGCGGAACTCGTCGAGACGCCGCAGCCGATCCTGCTCGATGCGGCCGACGTCGACGGTGGGCTTGGTAGCGGAGTGGGTGTCGGCGGGCTGGTTGAGGAACTTCATGCGCGCCAGTAGGCCCGGAGAGACATTTCGCGCGAGTTTGGTGGTGCTTTCGAGGTGTGGAGGCGTGGGACGAAGGGGTTTGGGCGATGACGCTGCTGGCGATGGGGCTGATGATGGATTGGGCGGTGTCTTCGCTGGCAGGTCAACGGCAGTCGCGGGGCTGCTGCTGTTGTTCACTCGAGGCGGCGCATCCGGGTGGCTCATCGAGCATTTCTCTGCTTGGACCTCGAGAAGATCTCCAGGTCGCGTTCAGTCGAGGGCGAGGGCTGCGCACGCCGGAGGTGCGCTGGATGCACGGATGCGCTGCACCGGGAGATGAGTCGCTTCTTCGAGGGCTTGGGGAGGTGGCCGGCTCCGACGTCGCGTCAGCCGCCTTCACGCGTTTCTTTTGGTGGTATGTGTATGGACAGGCTGTGTATGTAAGGTATGTATGTAGTACGTAGGCACTAGGCGGCCTGCAGCAGAGGGCGAGAATGCAAATGGGCTTCAGTGTCCTCTGTGCTGTTCCCGCCGCGATAAGACGTCGTATGCAAATGAGCCACGCCTGGACGACACGTTCCCCCAGCAATCAGGACAGTTCACAGCGTCCCGCCTTTGAGACACCGAGTGCCGCTATGCTCAATTTCCGCAAGCAAGCCCCCTGCGCGCAATGCTGTCAATGCGTCCAGCCCCTCCAACTCTGCAACGCTAAAGAGGCGCTCGGTCGGCCGTCGAGCGTGTGCAGTGGCTATATATGCCTTGGATATACGAGCACATGACTTCACTATGCGCCCCAAGCCCGCCTTGTGCACACATATACGACCTGTCAGTATACTACATACACATGTACCCACATTGTACACTTTGTACACAAATGCGCCCCTCCAACCACGTGGACCACACTGCTGCACATCTACTTAGCATGTAGACACGTCTGGACCATTTGAGCCCCGGCCCCCCCCTTTTCAGATGACTACTACGATTCTTCCTATGACAACGGCAAATACTGTTATTACCAATGATACATCTCCGTATAACCCTACATAGACATTACATAGTACATACACACACACACTCACACACCCTGGCACCACCTTTCATTCTCAACGAGACTCCATTTCATACAACATCTGACTGCAAGCCGCTGATCCAAAAAGGGGGTATCTATCTCAAGTCGCCAGCCATCCAGCGCCCTCTGAGCCGAATGATACTAAGGGAGCCCAGCTTCCATCCAGGGCTTTCTCCCGAAAAGACAAAAGAAATAAAAAGGGTAAACTACACTACTAAGACTTCTGCCGAGAAGGAGTTGAGAGTCTGAAGACGTAATCATCGTGCAAATTACAAAAGGATGATACTTGCAAAAAAACATAAACAGCGAAAGAAATCGGCGAACCAGCCCTCGCATCTGCCATCATCTGGCCACTTCACAGCGCCTCATAGTTTGGGTCGATCTGTAGTGTAGGTGTCCTCGCCTGGTTCTTCTGCTTCAGCCACTCGAGCGTGATTTCCTCACGCACCCCTTGGCTCCATTGTAGAATAGCGGCGTCAAACTTGCGCCATGCCTCCGCATCCTTACCCTGCACCACGCCCATGACGTCGACGTCGAGCTTAATGTCCCAGCGCAGCTCGGCCGCTTTGACCCAGTAGCGCAGGTTGTCGGCGCAGCGGTATGGCTTCGTTGTGTCTGTGTGGTATGTCTTGATCTGCTCAAAGTGTCGTTTCGATCTTCGCACTAGCGTGTTGTGCAGGCGCACCAGTCTCAGTCCGTCTTGGAGTGTAGCAAGGAAGGGTGTCGGGAGTTCGGTGTCAGTAGGGGCTGTCCACTCTGGAAGGGCTTCGGCGCTCGTCTCGTCAAACGATCGGAGAAAAAGAACTTCTCGCTCTCGCTCCTTGCCCGTCCAGTCGCCATCGCGCCACGACCATGTTTCACGTGCCTCTTGTTCTTCGCGTTCCTTCTCTTCTTCCGTATCTAGAAGCGCGCTGATATCGTCAACCCACTGCTTGAGTTGAGTTACTTCGTATGGCTGAACACCGTTTCCAAAGTTACGAATAGCCAGGCGCTTCAGTACCTCGAGTGTATCATACAGCTCCTTGCGAATCTCACGTTCCGACTTGATAGCATAAAGTCGCTGTGGCTCTTCGTGTGCAGTGTAGTAGTTTTTGGCAGCCCTGATGGCCAGCGTCGTGACATCCAGCAAGTTCAAGCCCTGAACTTCGTGCCACCCCGACGCATCAGCACCACCGTTCTTTGCTGTCTTTCCGTCTGGCTGAATGTCAGAGAAGCCCTTCTCGAGCTCGTGCAGATGTTTCATGGATTCGGCGAGCGATTCGCGTAGTTCGCGACGAAGTACTGTCATGTCAGGTGGCGGGGGTACGTAGATGGGGTTGTTCTTGTATGTGCTAACGGTAGGCGGGAGCATCATGGGCTCAGGGTCCTCCCAGGTCATGGAGGGCGTCTCGTCAAGCGGCGACTCGACGAAGCCCTCGCCCATGTGATGCTCGCTCATTGGTGATCCAGGCGATAATATACCAAACTCTGCATCGAGCCCCGGCGAGAGTGGCTCGTTGCCGCTCGCTGTTCGCGATCCGGGCTTGCGACCTTTTGCTATTCGTCCAGTCGCGGTGTCAAGCAGACCAGTTCTGGCAAAGTAGTATTGCAGATGGGCAATAGTGCCGAGGTTCATGACGCTCTCTCTGCTCTTTGCAGACTCGGAGAATTCGGTGCCCTCAGGCCTCATGTATCCACGCCGCCTGCCGCCATCGGACAACCGGGAACCTGCCGAGCGTCCAGAAACTGACGAGACCGACGAAGCTGTCGAGACGGAGCGGTCGAGGGGCGGGATGGCGCCGATGGCAAGGGAGGGCGTAGCCCATGGGTCGGGCGACGTGGAGCGTTGGGGCGGCGAGGTGGATGTGGTGGTGTCCATTGTGGTTGACAGGGGGGGAAGGTGCAAAGCCGTGGCAGTCGTCAGACTCCTTATCAGCAGAGAGATTCGGTGCTTTGTACGAATCCTCGGCATTTACGGAGCGTGAGGGCGGTTTTCAAGGACTCGCAGTTGTTTGCGGAGCCACCTGGGCAAAGTGCGGTTGTTGCTATGTGACTCTGGGGCGAAAGGGGGGGCGTTTGATTAGAGGTTTCATCGACTGGGGAGCGACGCGAGATTGTATCCGAAAACAACGCGAGACTAGCGTCACCACCGCCCGGCGCTCCCTCGCGGCGACTAATTTCCGGCAGCCGTGAACACATTGCGGTTGCGAGCAACACGGCGCTGACTGTACATACTTTACTTTGGACATGTGGGCAAAAAAAGAAATTCGCCCGTTGACCCGCGCTGGCCCCTTGCGGCGGCTGAGGCTGTCCTCCTAGCTCCCTCTCTGCGTGCGACTGCATCCATCTTCCCAGCAAAAGCACCTCTCACGCTGGCCCCGCACCCGTCCACCATCCGCGACGTCGCAGGGGTAACCTCCCCCAACGGTACTCTGGTACCAGCAGCAGCAGTAGCAGTCGCAGTAGCGTCTAGGTTTCGCCAGTTGCGATGACGTCGCCCTGCTGCACCGCGCCTGGCCCATGGTATCACCGACGAGCCAGTGGCTTGACTGGCCCTCGTGTGTCTTGTCTTGTCTTGTCTTGCTGCATAGCTGTACTCTTCTCCCTGCCTATAGCATCGAAATTCGTTGCACTGTACTTGAAGCGCTGCCGTGCCCCTCCGCCCCCCCCATCCAAGCAAACGCATTAAACCCACAATGTCGGCCAAGCGAGTGCGTCACGTCCGTCGCTGTCATGCCAAGTGGCTGCTGTCGTGGCAGAAGCTAATCACTTTGCACAGATCCAGTACAAGGTCGAGGGCCGTGTACAGGGCGTCAATTTCAGGTCCTTCACCCAGAAGACCGCCCGCAGTCTTGGTGTGACGGGCTTCGTGACCAATGCATCAGACGGAAGCGTATGCACTCACAATGCTATTACCATGGCATGGCGCGCCACACCACACCTCACACGCACTAACCCCTTCCAGGTCCAGGGCGAAGCTCAGGCCACCGACGACAAGCTCAACGACTTCGTCCACCACCTGCACAAGGGTCCACCAGCCTCATCCGTCTCCAAAGTCGACCACTCTGACATTGCCACAAAGCCCGATGAGAGTGGCTTCAGCGTCCGCTATTAGAGGGGCTTACTTGGAACTTATCCAGAGAAGTTTGGTAAATGATAACGTATGCATAGTAGTTAGTTAACTAGTAATGTATTGATTACCTAAGCATACTTTACCCAAAAGCTACCAGATTCTTGCAGGAACATCTTATCACAGATCCCATGGAAACTGTCCGAATCAAGTACACCATTGTTGGACGAAGAAATATGCACAGTAGCCAAGTTGTTGAGTCGTTTTATCTGCTCGCCGAAAAACCGAGTCGGATGCTCATCGCCACTGTCCAATCCGGGACGCAAAGCGCAAAGCGACGGCTCTAGATCGTTGGTGATACACTCAATCTGGTCCTTTGAGAGGAAGTGTTCAAGGACCATACAGCCACCTTCGTTTAAGATGAAAACAACATCTTCAGCGCATCCAGACGTTAGCTGGCATCGTCACTATCTTCAGTCATTGCTATTGCACAAGGCGGTACCGTGACGCTGCTTTACGCTTCTCTTGTTATAATAGTTTCCTACATCTGCGACACAGCTGCCTTGTTCTCCCGGTTCTCTCCATGGCAGCTGGAATATTCCTCATCACCTCCAACATCGTCTTTGCTCTGGTGATTCAATTCAACCAATCCTACGTTTCTCACCCCTGGCACTCGTTCTTGCCTTGTGAAGTCTTCAACATCATCGCAACACTTTACATCTACCTTGAAAAAAATGTCCAAGATTTATAATTTGGGATGTGCATTACTTTCCATCTTCCCTTCTGTTCAACTTTTCAAGGTCATTTACTATTTTCGGCCTCTACTACAGGTTTGCAGTCACCCCCCTCGACTCATCCTATGTCCTTCACTCTAATGAACCCTTTTTTCTTCTCCTATCCTTCAACTCATTCTTCGGTGTGGCAATTCGGGTACTCCAATTCTCCTTCGCCATTCCAACAGCCTTACTCGTTTGGCGAAAGCGATCCCCATCCTTCTTACCCCACGACAGGGCATTTCGCCTCCCTCATCTAGTCGGTTATCTCTGCTATGTGGTTGGGATATGCTGGAATATCATCGTCTATGTCTTCTTCATGTTTCCAGCTGCGAGTGTCAATGCAGTTATTGGGTGGGCCAATTTGTCTAGCTACGCTGCTAACAAACATGCCGTTCTTGGGTTGTGCCGGAGCGCTGCCAAGGAATATCCCGGCATCAGAACAAATGCCGTCTCTCCTGGTATGTTGTCGCTCTGCAAAATGTTAAATGTGGTTGCATTCCTCCTCAGCGATGAGGCTAGCTTCGTTACTGGGGGCCAACTACCAAGTTGACGAGTGATGGATATGTTTGACGGATGGAAACTAGTTTTTGCAAATATTTCACAGGCAGCTGTGATACTTGCGTGCCTGATTCACCTGATGTCATCTGTATTCCTACCTGAGCTTGTTGCAGACAATGTGGCTATCTCTCTGTGCTTCGTAAGTATCACACATCCGACCACGAAGCTGCGGGTTCGCGTATTTTTAACCTAAAACAGAAAGACCGGCATTGCGCCACAGTGTGGATGAGCTGCAACATGCATTATCTCGCGTACTCGGCGTAGAAGGATGCGCTTACTCTTCCAATCCTTCTAGAAGTTGTATTCGTGTCTTTTAGATATTCTTCGTTCTGTTAAGCTTCTACTTGTTCAACTGGGATGCACCTGGCTGTTCATGGTTTGCTATTATCATTGTTGTTTGAGTAGCCTTTGATATACAGTATACTGGTAGCGAGTATTTGAAATGCGCAAGCGCGGGCAGCCTTTCACTGGCTTTGGAGTTCCAATCGGGTGGCGTTTGGCTCATCAGTGAATAGATGCAGTCATCGTTGTTGCCGGGTTTTTAGGGTGCAGGTGGGTCTTCCTTTGTGGATAGCGAGTCCCCGAAAGCCCGACGAACATCTCCCGGGATGAGTTGCAAAGCATTCGATGCGACCAACACGGTCAACTTGGACTTTAAAACATCTAGAAAACTGGGATATCAGCTCTCCATTATATTTCAATACCATCGGTACTAAATATAAGAGATCTACAACTTCAGGTGTCGGTTTTGCAGGGGTATTTGACCAATGTCTGCAATCGGAAGTTGGAGGCTTGGCTGCCTTGTTCCGGTTTCTTCTCGTTAGCTGAGTATTGAATTGCTCAGCCGCTTCGAACTCGTCTCTGCACGCGACCTATGCGTCTGTTCTCGACAGGTCTGCTTACTGTCTCGGCATCTTAGACAATGCCTATTTGCTCGTAGGCGCTGCCGTGGAATGGAGATGCCGTAATGTTGCTACGGCGTCCCATGGCCATTCCTGTTTCGCCCTTGGTGACTAGGCGTCATCAGTGGCTGTCTACGGAAAGCACGAGTACTAATCGAAGATTTTTTGGTTATCGGCGTCTCGTTTACGTTTGTATCAATGACTATTAAAGGACTCATGAGTGCCTCAGTAGTCTCTCATACCACACATCAGTATTCACTACTACACCACCTGGACGACATCCTCAGTTCTCCACTCACCTCTTTTGACACACACACACTCTTCGCCGTATATGATGTCCACTAGAGCAGCAATATATGGATCAGCGGCCTCAAAACGGGGCACCGCTTACCTTATCAAGTCCTTCCAGAGCTACAATGCCGGACTTCGACCCACCTTCATCGTGACCCAACACTTCAAGACTTCAAACGCTAGACGAAGCTTTTCTTCTTCGCCCAGTGGTGAAGCCAAGATCAAAGAGTTTTTTGAGAAGCATCCGACAGAGAAAGTTCGCAAAACGCAGGCAGCATGGCCACATCCAGGTACATACATTGAGCTTGTCTGACTCATCAGCCACTAACAACTCCCAGTATACACAGAAGAGCAGATGAACCAAGTCATCGTTGCTCACCGTGAAGCCAAGACCATGTCCGATAAAGTTGCTTTGATCGCCGTCAAGGTCCTACGCTGGGGTCTCGATAGGGTGACAGGATACAAGCACCCAAAGCCTGTGGATGTGGATGCGAAAGACCCAGTGGCAGCAAGAAAGCAGTTCGCCATGACGGAAGAGAAGTACTTGATTCGGAATGTCTTCTTAGAGAGCGTTGCAGGCGTTCCTGGCATGGTAGCCGGTATGCTACGCCACTTGCATTCTATGCGGAGGATGAAGCGAGACAATGGATGGTACGTATTATTGCGCAATAGGCATTGCACATTCACTAATGCACACTCTCCAGGATCGAGAGCCTACTAGAAGAAAGCTACAACGAGCGTATGCACCTGCTTGTGTTCCTGAAGATGCAACGCCCTGGACCCTTTATGCGCCTCATGGTACTTGGAGCACAAGGTGTATTTTGCAACGCCCTGTTCTTCGCCTACCTCCTAAGCCCTCGCACTGTCCACCGCTTCATTGGATACCTTGAAGAGGAGGCAGTCATCACATACACACGTCAGATCAAAGACCTTGACGAAGGCCGTCTTCCCAAATGGGAGAAGATGGAAGCACCCGAGATTGCGGTTGATTACTGGCAGATGCCAGAGGGTCACCGCACAATGCGCGATCTGCTTCTCTACAGTACGTGTGTTTTTATCGACATGTATTGCACAGCACGCTAACACCACCCCAGTCCGCGCAGATGAAAGCAAGCATCGAGAAGTCAACCACACCTTTGGTAACCTCGACCAGAAGGAGGATCCCAACCCCTACGTTAGCGAGTATCGGAATCCGGAAGTGCCACACCCAACAAAGGACCTTGCGCATCAAAAGCCAACCGGCTGGGAACGACACGAGGTCATCTAGGATTCCGTTTATCTTGTTCCTCTTGTATTACGCTGGGTATTTGTACTTCCCCTGTCTTTCACCTATACTCCTTTCAAAATGCATCCTTGGCGTTGGTGGAATTTGGATGCTATTATAAGATCGATAACCCTATTGTGTTGGGAGGTGTTTTGACATACGAGAACCATGTATTATTAGATTTGTGGGCGTTCTGGAGATTATTGGAAAGTTTCTTGTGGGCTGACCGGATCCTCATATGGGCGTATGACGGCCAATGAACTTTAGGTACCGGCTTATGTACACACGGTTCGACACAACTGGAATCACTCTATTCTGTACACAGTCTCGGTGCCATGCGACTCTACTAGGCTAGACCAGAAACCTTTCGAGGCTGGTAAACTTTGAATAGGACCGTTCGGATCGACAGTACGCACCCCCGTCGAGCGAGTGGTCCTGGGACGACTAAGCCAGGGCTTGCGACTACACTACTTACATTGTACAGGGGATTCACCGCTCGGCGGAAAGTTACTTTCCCTGCTTAGCTGTCTCAACCTCGAACCTCAACATAAGAGACTTGCAACAATGCTGTTTACTGGAGTTGAGGCGGAGATCTCTGACACTTGAGTGTGCCCAAAAGAAATTCACGCAGAGTTACTCGAGCTGCAGAGCACACCACGAGGCCGCATATCTGGATTGGATTGGCGATGGGTATGATACGATCTTAGTAGTACTGCTATGTGTCTTCTCGATCGATCAGCCTCATACGAGATTCACAGTTAACATGCAATCCTTGGTGCGCCGAGACGTCTGCTGATCTCCGCATTCCCGCAGCCAATATTATGCAGACTTGAGAAGCACAACCAAAGCCTCTGGCGATACTCGCTTTTGCGAGTCAATGTATAATGGCTACGCTCTGGAGTCGGATCGTGCCCAGCCGCAAAAGATAACGTCACATAGTTTGCAGCTTAGTAGACATTCAACAGCCGACACATGCCACCACCTGTGATAAGATGTGCTGACGGCAGAGCATAACACGGCTTTCGAGGAGATGGTTGCAGTGGCTGGTCTATCACTTCCCCGTACGCCGGGGCGGGGCTAACCCCGCACTCTCTGGCACTAGTGTTCACGCCAAGCTACACTCCCCTCAGCATGAGGCACAGGAAGTCCTGCACCCCACATCCGCATTCTTCCACGAGAGAGAGAAGTGCATCCAAAAGAGCGTCAGCGCGGCATGACCCCCGCAGACCAACGTGCGCCCAACAGAACCTACCGCAGGCGCATGGGAGCCAAGAGCCGTCATCCGGGTAGGACGGGGAAGCTTCAGGGAGCTCCAGGGAGCTCCAAACGGTGCGATGCAGTCAGCTACCATACTACTTCCTCCGAATCAACTCCTCACGATCCCCAGCAACTCGAGTTCGTGTAGATCATTGTTGGTCCGCGCCTCGTCTCGACTGCTTCGTTGCACGTGTCACTCGCTGCTAGTCAAGGACGTGTACATTGTCTCCTCTCCGAGGACCTGATACGCTGGAATTGGAAGCCTGAACGCGCCATCTTCACCACCCAGCTCCGGCTCCGCACAGCTTACATCTGACAGTGGGCCTGCACACGCAACCGAGCATTTCTCCTTACTAGATGTGATACTTCTCCGCACCCAGTTTACCAACATACGACCACTGCAGCATTCCCCCCGTCCGCTTTTGGCCTGTACCCCAGTCCCGGGAAACAGCTTTATCCTAGCTCTTTGGACCAATCATCATCTCCAGACCCACCCCTGTATATCGTCGGTACAACAACCATCCTTCTGCGGATCCGCAACTTTGTAGTCTCGCCTTTGTTTGAATGCCTTGGACAGGGGCCCATCATGCATTCCAGCAGAAGTTAGAATCTGTATGCCACCCCTGTTTGAGTGGGGAAGCTGGGGTAATGGTACATGATCCCTCGTCACAATGCATGCACCGTGTTACTATCCGGATGGACGGCTATTGAAAGTGCATAGTGACACAGCCTAGAGAGTGGGTCCTCGATGAACGTGGAGATTCTGGACATGCGGGGTTTGACAGTTTAAAGGGACGTCGTTTCTGCCTTTGTGAGATCTCTATCATGCCCAGTTGACTTGCTCACTGCGGTCAACTTGTAGCAAGTGTATACCGTTTCAATTACAGTTTGATATTTACTTGAACCATCAAAATGACGATTCCGGACGAGGTACGATGACCAAAGCACTAGCTTGCCGTAATGTCATCTCAATAACTGACAACTACAAGGTTGATATTATCGTTTGTGGTGGAGGATCATGCGGATGTGTCGTTGCTGGCCGGTTGGCCAATCTTGATCATAACCTCCAGGTCCTCTTGATTGAGGCTGGTGAAAATAATCTCAACAACCCATGGGTCTTCCGTCCGGGTATCTATCCCAGGAACATGAAGTTGGACAGCAAGACTGCTTCCTTCTACTACTCCAGACCTTCGGAATGGCTCGATGGACGCCGTGCTGTTGTACCCTGTGCGCACATCCTTGGAGGTGGATCCTCCATTAATTTCATGGTAAGATTATCATGATTAGACCAGATCAAGTGGTAGTATTAACACAATTCAGATGTACACTCGTGCCTCTGCTTCCGATTATGATGACTTCCAGGCCAAGGGCTGGACTACCAAGGAACTCCTTCCTCTCATGAAGAAGCATGAGACTTATCAGCGAGCCTGCAACAACCGCGACATTCACGGATTCGAGGGACCCATTAAGGTTTCTTTTGGTAACTACACATATCCTATCAAGGAAGACTTCCTTCGTGCCACCGAATCCCAGGGCATTCCCACCACCGATGATCTTCAAGATTTGGTCACCGGCCACGGTGCTGAGCACTGGCTCAAGTGGATCAACCGTGATACCGGACGTCGCTCTGACTCTGCTCACGGCTACATCCACAGCACCCGCGCCGTTCACCAGAACTTGCACTTGTTGACCAGCAACAAGGTTGAAAAGGTATGTAACTTCTCTCATGACGCTTTCATGCTGCTAATATTCTATCAAAGGTTATTCTCGAGGGTGACCGTGCTGTCGGCGTCAAGGTCGTCCCTACCAAGCCTGTTTCACCCGGACAGGTTAACTCCAGGACCATTCGCGCCCGCAAGCAGATTATTGTTTCCGGTGGTACCATGAGCTCACCACTCATCCTTCAGCGCTCCGGTATTGGTGACCCAGAGAAGCTCCGAAAGGCCGGCGTGAAGCCCCTGGTTGATCTTCCTGGTGTTGGTCTCAACTTCCAGGATCACTAGTAAGTCTACTTTCTGACGGCTGAAATGCAGTTTACCTGACATCATTATAGCCTGACTTTCGCGACATACCGCGCGAAGCCACATGTAGAGTCGTTTGACGACTTTGTTCGTGGTGACCCCAAGGTGCAAGAGCAAGTCTTCCAGCAATGGAACATCAACGGCACCGGACCACTCGCAACCAACGGCATTGAAGCTGGTGTGAAGATTCGACCAACTGAGGAAGAACTCAACATGATGGACAGCTGGCCATGCAAGGAGTTCCGCTCTGGCTGGGACTCTTACTTCAAGAACAAGCCCGACAAGCCAGTCATGCACTACTCGGTCATTGCTGGCTGGTTCGGTGACCACATGGTTATGCCACCAGGCAAGTTCTTCACGATGTTCCACTTCCTAGAATACCCCTTCTCTCGTGGATCTACGCACATTGTATCACCAAACCCATACGAGGCACCCGACTTCGACGCTGGCTTCATGAACGACAAGCGCGACATGGCCCCGATGGTCTGGGGATACATCAAGTCGCGTGAGACTGCTCGTCGCATGGAAGCCTACGCTGGAGAAGTCCAGTCCATGCACCCATTCTACGCCTATGACAGCCCTGCCCGCGCACGTGACATGGACCTCGCAACCACCAACGCATACGCCCTCCCCGGCAACCTCAGCGCTAACATCCAGCACGGATCCTGGACCCTCCCTGTGGAGAAGGGCCGCGCCCCCGAGCCTACCTTCTTGAACTCCAACCAGCAAGAAGTCTTTGAGGACCTACACTACACTAACGAGGACATCAAGCACGTTGAAGACTGGGTCAAGCGTACGTTCCCCTCCCACACCCACAATTAACACCTCAACACTCCCAAGTAACCAGTCTTTCATACTAACTATACTTACACAGGCCACGTCGAAACCACCTGGCACTCCCTCGGCACGTGTTCCATGGCCCCCAAGAACGGAAACTCAATCGTCAAGCACGGTGTCCTGGACGAGCGCCTCAACGTCCACGGCGTCAAGGGCCTCAAGGTCGCCGATCTCTCAATCTGCCCCGACAACGTCGGCTGCAACACGTACTCGACTGCGCTCCTCATCGGCGAGAAGTGCGCCGTGCTCACTGCTGAGGACCTGGGCTACAGCGGTAGCGCGCTCGACATGAAGGTGCCTAATTACCATGCCCCGAGGGAGATTGCTGGATTATCGCGCTTGTAATTGCGGATGCTGGGGCGCAAGGAGGGGGTGTATTTGTAGTGGATGCAATGGGCGGGTCAAGGTTGGACTGATGCGAAAAGAGGATAACTACAAATGCCATGTATATATGATTGAATGTGATCCTTTGTCTCTATCAATGTGCCACTTGTGCTTGTGAAGTTGTGGTGTTGAGCAGTGCTCTTGTGATGTACGTAAGCACCCTGGGGGGGTCTAACGTCTCTCATTGCTTGGCGAGAAATTATGTATGCTAAGAAAAGTAAGAGGTACTTTAGCTTTTAAATAGTAGAAGAGGCTATAAGAAGGTGAGAGTAAGGAATGTAGGGTAATAAGTGATGTTAATAGCAACGCTCCTAGGCATTGGGACAACTTACACCGCATATAACGATGTAGCCATGTGCTATCGCTACGATCCAATATTCCGAGCAGCTATGTCGACGGCTCGATGTTCAGCAAAAACAAGACTAAGAGGCGGACGCGAGCACACTCGGTATACTTAAGGGGGCACCCGGTGAAAAAAAAAACCCCCCAAGACTCACAGATAGCTTGTACTTTGTATCCATCACTACTAGCTACGATTTTGGTAGGGTGGTGGCCTGCGCTGAGTCTTGGGAATTTTGTCCACCGGATTGGAGGGGGAGAAGATTCTAGCTTTCTAGTAGTTGCGTTCGGGGTATTTCTTGTTCCATTGTTATTCAACTGCAGAGAATACAATAACAATGACATGGAGCTTGCCTCATCCACTGAAGCGATCCCGGCCCTGCTAGCCGGCCATAGCCGTTGATTGTCCGACACTGTATGCAGTGTACCGGAACAAAACCACATGGAGTAAATTTGTCTTGCTCTGCGCTGTACCTTCCTCGCCCCAGGTCATCGGCATGGCAGCTCGTGTTCGATTCCCATCGCGTGCCTTGCTCCATGTTTAAAGTTGCTTGCCTCTGGACCTCTTGGTCCCACCCACCCACAAAACCATAATGTTCGCTAAGCCACTGACATAGCTGCTTATAATATCGAAACCATATAGACCAAATAATAAGCGTAGTTCCGGACGTAAAACATGCATATATAGGCAGAGGGGTTAGTTCAGGAGGAATACGATCCGAGTAAAACAAGTATCCAACCAATAATAGAGCCAAAGTGAAAGTCACTGTGACCAAGTAAATACTGAAGGGGAATGTTTTGACAATCTGAACACCCCAGCGAGGATCCTGGATAGTCGAGACTGTGTGTGATCCGTCCCTGTGATGATGGATAATTACACGTCGTTTGGGAAGTTTCTCAGATTGCCTGCCTGTTGAAATAGGCTTAGGCACCAATGGGTTCCAAAAGTATCTTATGAAAAGACTGCGACGAAAACACTCTGCCCTCGCAGAATTTTCGTAGTACCCCCCGGCTTGTAAGCTAGTTCTTGAAGCTGTGGATGAGCATTCGAGCACCTCAAATGCATTCGTTGACGGGAATTTTATTAAGTTGGCTTCTTCGGGCCACCGAAGCCAATCCAGGCTGTAGTAACAGGTAGCTTTTGAACAGTGCTCTCGGATGAGGTCGAAAGCTTCTACGTCATTTGTGACAGAAGAGAAATCGATTTCCAGGACTTGAGTGTGATTGCCGCTAGTGATGCACAGATCGAGTATCATGAAAGACTCCGATTGTAGCCAAGAAGCGTCGTAATCATCGAGTTTCGCAAGAACTGATTGCAGGCTTAGTCTCTCGTCAGGCTTTTCGAGCAGTGTAGATGTGATGATGTCCTCCAGAGTAACGAGAAACCCGACCATGTCTGGTTGCTTAGTACCTTCATGAGTTTGGCGTAATTGTTTCAAGAGAGGGGGCACCTCCTTGAAGCTATAGGAGAAACCAACTTGGTATAGCTTTTCTAGCTGGAAGATACCCTGTTCGTTCTCCTGGCACAGCTCCCACCGCCTCGAGCTCAGGAGGGCATGGATCCATGAAATGCTGCAACCGAGTGAGAAAATGTTGGAATGATAAGTACTCGATGCTTGAGCTTTTTGTTCGGGGGCGAGATATTGCTCTGTGCCATTGAAAGTGGTATTCTCGGCTTCCACGTATCCTTTGCTTATTCCTAGATCCGCAATTACGACACGGACTTTGAGGTCCAGAGAAGCACCATCCGACTCATCGACGAGAAGAATATTGTCTGGTTTCAAATCTTTGTGTCGAATCTTATTGTTATGTAAATGCTCGAGCCCGAGAACGCATTCCCGAACGATACTCGGCCAAGGGTCAAGACTGTGGGGTTTGTACCATGAGCAATGTCGGCTCATGCCATCGCGAGAATTTGCTATATCTTCAAGTAGTTTTTGTAGTGATGCTTGCGCCCACGGTTGGGTCACAAGAAATGTTCTGTCCGTCCACCCTTCTTGCTCAATTACGTATACCTCTTTCAGCTGGAGTACGTTTGGGTGTTGACAAAGCCGAAGGTGTTCGATCTCTTTGTGCAGCTGACGCCGGGCTCTTCTGTCTCCGATATATATTTCTTTAATTGCGAAAGTCTCAACCTTGCGTCGAAGTCCGCGCGATGGCAACGTTCTAGTTGCTTTGAACACGGTAGCCTGGCCTCCACGTAAATCCGGTTGTTCTTCATCCTTTCTGTATGACACGAGCGCTCGTGTTGCGTAGGACGCTATAGTTTTCTGTACCACCTCTTCTACTATTTCATCATATCAACTCTCGAAGATGTTTATTTGTAGATGCACTTGACATACTGTTCTCTGGACCGTGTTCAGTCACTTTGGGGCCGTGACGGCGGAGGCTGGTTGCCATACTACTGCTCTTTGTTGTTCAAAATATAGTGTTGAAGAAGGTACGTTCCAGTTGTTGGAGGTTAAAGAAAAGTTTCGGTACAGCTATCGATAGAATGCTTAGCTTGAAGGTAGCAATAGTTTCCAGCTGGTGCTTGCCTCATTGATCAGTAGGCTCAGCCGCTCGAGGACTGATCATGTAAACAGGAGACGCGTTTGTGTAACCTATTACTACTTAAGGAATTTTGGTCTGTGCTTTTGTGCCGCTTGCTCACGACTAATATGGTGTTTCTCGCTACGTAGTGAGGGACGTTACTACTGTGCAGCAAACGTTTTTTATTACTCCAAAAGTACATGAGCGTCTTCACAAGGGTATATTGTGCATCTCTCTCTTCCCTCATCCATTCCTAACCACATGACCCAAGGCCTATCTCCCAACCCCCCCTATACTCACTTCGCAAACCCCTTCGGCCCCGCCCACTCCCCCTTAACATGATACCTGCCATACACCCAAGGGAAGAACTCCTTCTTCAACCAATAAAACGCCTTCCTAGGCACTCCCTGATCCGCTCCCAACACCCTCCCAAACGTCTCCTTAGGCACACCGCCGTACTTAAACTCCGCAAGCAGCACCTCCTTCTGCCCCGTAAGCAGCGGGCATGACGTGTACCCATCATACTCGGCTTCTAGCTGCTTCCCTTGCATGTGGTTGAGCAGGTTGGACACGAGGACGGGTGCTTCGGCGGTGATGGCTGCGACGGTTTTGCTGGTGGGGAGTGAGGAGGCGTCGCCGATGGACCAGACGTTGGGGTATTTGGTGTGCTGGGTTGTGCTGTCTGAGACGGCGACGTAGCCGGCTTCGTTTGCCAAGGGGCTGTTTTTGACAAAGGACCAGGGCACGTTTTTGGGGGCGACGTGCAGGAAGTCGAAATGGCGTTTGACGGGGTCTTGGTTGGGTACGTTGAAGGTGGCGGTGTTGCCGGAGATGGAGGTTAGGTCGTGTTGGAAGAGGCCTTGGACGCCGCGTTCTACACGGAGCTTTTCGAGGGTTTGGCTGTATCTGTCGGGGGGGTGTTAGCATCGAAACGGGCGTGTAAGGTCGAGGCTGGGAGCTTTTCTCGAAACGTACTTGTCTACACCGAACATTTTTGGCAAGCCAGTTGCAAAGGCAATGTTTATTGGAGATTCGCTGGAAGATGTAGGGTGGTACAGCCCAGCGTTCTTCCAGTAATCCAACGCAAGCCACATGATCTTTTGGGGTGCACCCGCACACTTGACTACACCCGCTGGCTGGGTGAATACCGCATCACCCTTTTTGAACTTCTGGATATTGCTATATGCCTTGTCACAGTATGCATAATCGTAAATAGTGGAAACCATTGATTCCTTCTCTTCAAGCGCTTCTTTCAGACCGGGGACAGCTCCGTAATCCAGCGTGATTCCAGGTACGACGACAAGTTGCTCATATCCGATTTTATCCCCGGTACCGGTAGTGATGTAGTTTTGCTCTGGGTTTAGGCTTCCTACGGCTGTATTGTAGAACTTGAATTTGGGGTTGATCAAGTCCTTTAGTGGGCGACGGAGCTCTTCTTTCTTCTTCAGACCACCACCAACAAGGGTCCAGCCGGGTTGGTAGTGATGCCATTCCGCGGGATCAACAATGGCAATGTCGTCTTGGGCAAAATTTCCTTTTCGAAGCAGTTGGTGGGAGAGAGCAATGCCAGCTGAGCCACCGCCAATCACGACAATTTTGTGATTGCGGGTAGCTGTCTGCACTGGTGCGACTGTTGCAAGATTCCGAATGGAGGATGGTACCGCATGACTGGACTTGACAAGGGAGCGCGATGCCACTGATTTGGAAATACGAGTGCAGAACATGGTTGGCGTGTTACTCTAATCCTCTTCCCTGTGGGTCTTTCTGCTTGGTTAGAAAGGAAAAATGATCGTAATGACAGACGGGGGGTGAGGTTCAGATCAAGTGGTCCCATTCAGCTGGACTGATTACAGACTTTGATGTGGGTCACCCATTGAGGCTAGGGAGATGGCCAATAAGGAGAGCCACTAGCGGATCACGACATCGGTCCTAAAATATCAGCTTACACAGAACATAGAGTACGTAAGAAGATATAGCAGTCAACGGAGTCACAAATGAGTGGAGAGAGTTATTTTTATCTTGACCAGAAAATACAATCGATGTCAGAAATATGAACTGAATCTAATTTGCACAGCAAATATCTAAATGCCTATCATACTTGATCGTAGAACCTTCGTTACGAATAACTAGAGATAGAAAGAAGCATATCAAGTCATTTCCACTCATTAGCATAATATTAGTTGATAGATCGTCCCACACTGAAATCCCCAGTTTTTCCTTTTTCCAAGTTGTTATACTTCGCTGCTCATCTACTCTCAGATGGAAAAGTTTGTCATGCCAGACGGAGTGTCCCACAACGCATCCCACGAAAAATCAAATGCGTTGGGATCTAAGATATCCGACAGCAGGAAAGAAGCGTCATCAAAGTTAGGCATCGTATGCATTTCAGTACCATTGCCATTTGCAACAACGCTCGCAGGCTCTGTTTCCGATGGTTGTGGTACCTCTCTTGCATTTAGCGAGGCAATCTTTGATACCGGATCAGCGCACCGTTCTAGACAGTAATTTGCAATATCCCAGTCAAAGTTGTCCCGCGCATGCTGAATGTGCGCAATGACGCGTTCAAGGCGCGTGACAGACGTATTTCGTATCTCGGAATCCTGCGTCTCGACGGTGCAGCGAAGTGATACCGTGATGGCATGTACCAAGAGGTGAGTTGCGTATGGCAACCAAAAGTCCAGAAACTGGGTTTCACCCATAGCAAGTATGAAGTCGAGAACAGCTGAAGATGCAATGCGTAATTGGTCCATGCGATTTCGGCCAATGCTGCCATCACCATCGAGAACTGCTGCGCGGAAGATTACACGGGCAAGAACGAGTCTGATTGAGAGAAATGAGAGCCAAAGCATAGCTGTTCCTGGGCGATTTGGTAGAGGAAGCCATTCCGGAAGTTGTGCTTCCAAGTCGTTCAATTCTAGTTTGAAGCGGTCAATTTCCCGGGAAAGCTGTAACCGGTCTGGATTGATCTGATAAACAAAAGGCAAGATTTCCGCGAGTAATTCGGTCAGGCCACACAAATATATGAAACAAGTAGTAGCTTGCTTCTGCTGTAGGCTGGCCCTATTTCCGATGAGTGATGTGACAGTTGGCCGCGGAACGTCGTAGTAGCCTTTCGAAACGTAAGGGGGCGCGCCATATGCCACACTAGACCATTGGTCGGTGATGAGAACGCACCACCACAGCCGTATTCGGAGTGACTTTTCGTTTTCTGTAATTGACCATTTTGAAGGATCTCTATGAAGACCGAAAGTTTGTGCCAAGGATACAGTCCGTCCACAGAGAGTGATGTTGCCGATGATGGAAACCGAAGGACGGCCGACTTGGTCGAGCACCGCGGCCTGTATGGTTGACATTCCCGGGCTAAGGAAGTCTTCCAGGGTCGCGGAAATGGCCTTGTTCCAAACATAATATGAATTTGGTTTGGGATGCATCTTGAGTGTATCTGATTTGGCCCAATGTGCCGATGCAAGTGCATAGATGACGCACATGAGATTGTTTGGCACTTTGGCGTATTGGTCCGTTCGTAACGTTTCGCACATCTCGTCATCTAGAATGGGGAGATGATAGTGGATCTCGCTGAAGTAGAGTTCGACGACTTCCCGCCTGAAGGGTCCCATGATCTGTTCCACAATCTCCACTTGCTCTCTTCCACAGCCGCTGTTGGGTGGTAGACCAGTTCGGAACCTCGGCACCGTAAGGTACACGACCGGGTCTTTAGCATCGTGCAACAACGTCTGGTAGTTGGAGTGCTCAGTCTCACCGCCGGCTTTTCGATGTTGCGAAATATGGCGATTGAAGATATCGATGTCCTCCGCAAAATGTGGCGCAAGCATGATGGATGCCGAGGGATTATTAACATTTTTATGTAAGATTGGGGCCGAGCGAGGCCTAGATGGCCCTTCCTCCGGCTCACTGTGTCGGCGTCGCTTCGAAGGCCTTTTATCTGAGCCTTCTTCGGTAGGAGAACTCGTGCTGGAGCCCTCGACATATTGACACTTAAGTCGTCTTTCTCGACACGATAGACATGGTTCTCCAGGAATATCGATATGACAGCGGATTTTTCTCGAACGACATCTTGTACATGCTGGTACTTTGTGCGAACGGTATGGCCTGTTTTGAATAGGAGTTGTGCGGGCCATGTGTTCGAGACGCGACGCCTTTCCTGAAATTAAACTCGGAATCCTGATCCTCTAATAGACGCCAGCGTGCTGTAGCAGTGCGAGTCGCCCCGGCGACCTGACAGGGTAAGTTTCGCGATCGCAGCGAAAGTTTTGAATTGTTGCTATGGCGTGCGATTACTGGGTTTTCCTGCTTCCATGTGAATTCGAGATCTCGGGATGTTGGGATGCGAAGAAGATGCGGATTGTCAACTAGGCGCTAGTAGGTAGCTGGCCCCACTTATCCTGTGCCAAAGCTCTCAAGATTTTCCCCACCAACTATCAGTCAGCCTCTAGTAGCACCTCGCATACGTACACCGCTCGAACGCTCCACCAAACCACCTTGTGTGACCCGTAGAAAAAATATTTCGAGACGACTGCTCCGCTTTCTTGAACCATGGGGTCACTGTCTTTCATACAGGGTTTTGACTCGGCCATCATCAGAGGTTCCATTGGGTTGAGATGTTATGCCGTTATCTACACCGCTGCACGTCTATTGTAAGGGACTCCCGTATCATACACCCGAAATGCAAATGACACATCTTGTTGGTCTGGTGAGCGTTTTCAATATACGAAGTAAAGTGGCAACCTGACCTGCGAGTCTTCTCCCGCATCAACGCAATGTCCGACAATCTAGCAAGCAACGGCCATGTTGGGGCTTGGTACATTGTACATGAACTGCTCACGTGTTATGGAATAGTCGAGGGTTGTGCTGAAGATATGTCTGGGACCAACCATACATTCAAATGATTGCAAGCAGATCAGCGGATATCTTGGGGATTGAGCGCATGAGCCTCAACAGCGTTACAAGCAAGAAAAAAACTGTGCTCATATTGCCCCAGAGGTTCATGATGGTGACTCATGGGGAAAACCAGTCCCGTGTGGCCAAAAGAATGCCTTCCGCCAGAATTGAACTGACGACCTCGTCATTACTAGTGACGCGCTCTACCACTGAGCTAGGAAGGCTCGATATGTTTTTGATGACTAATCCTCAAAGTTAATCATTTATAGCGAGAGAGTTTTTTTTGAATTGGAGTAGCCTTGTCGCGTGGTGCAGGTTTTTCTCAGCCCCACAGCATTGGCTGATTATTATCTTCGCCCCCAAGCGCCACTGGGCCTGGCTGAAGTAGCGTTGACCTCTGTACGCATGTTACTTCAGAAGCTAGCATAGAACACCAGGTTATAGCCGGAAGCACGCTCTTCTCAGCCTCGTGCTCGGAATAATGGAGTGGGCACTGTTGAGGTATGTTTTGTTTGTTTGTTGTGGACATGGGTGCTGCTCGTGGTGGCTCCAACGGCCACTAGACATCCTTGCTATATGTGATTGCTTCTGATACCCCGCGTGCGCTCATGGAGCAATGTGATGTGGACAGTACCCTGTACATTTGTACATGGTTCAATAGAGCAGAGCACGCGAGCGCAGCCACTGTCGCAAGCATACAGCCTGGCATTAGCCTCGGGTGTGGCATTGCGGCGCTGGCATGCCGCTTTGATGACGAGCGAAATTACGACGTGCCGGGGGCCAGCCTAAGAAAGCAGCCAGTATGTGCCATGGAGCCGCACGGTAATTACGAGCTGGCAGGTCCTGGGATCCTCTTACCGCGCTGCTCCGCGAGCACGCCATGCCGCCGGCGGGTATTGAGAGAAGGAGAAGGCGCAGTATGCATCAGCCACGTCATAGTACGACAAAGAATGGGGCCAGCGCGAGACCGTAGAGCGAACTTTGTTGCTGTGCGTAGCTATTTGCTGATAGTTGATGGTTGATAAGGGGTGTAGGGCGGCCCATCTGCAGACCAGGGCGGGCGACGAGCGTCAAGATGGGCTGGAAATTAGATGGGGTGGCCAATCAGGGGCCGCGGGTACCTGGCGCTAGACGCAGGCTAATGTCTGTTCAGGAAAGATGAACAGGTGGCACGGGCCAACGTCCACGGTTCGGCCTGGCAAGGCACCCCCCGGCGTTTCGAGCGTGGCTGCATGGTCGCTCTTGCCCTGTGTGTGTCTCTCTCTCTGCCGCGCTGCTACTACTTTCTTTCCTTCTTCGCCGGCCCCTTCGCTCGCTCACCCTCACGCCGCCTCTTAATTCCCTTGACGACATCACGTACTCCTGCGGCCGGGTTGTCGTCTTGTCCTTCGTTCCCCCAGCGCTGCCTGCTGCATTTCGCTCTTTTACACAAGCCTACAACTTACCCTCTTTTCTGTATAGTGCCTAGTCCACCTAAACATAAACAACACCAGTCTTTACCCCCCGCCACGTCGTACCTAATCCGCCTTCACTGCTTGCAAACACCACGCCGCACATTCAATACAAGAGCCGGTTCCTGTGAAGCGATATTTGGACCTGGTCCCATAACCTCCTAATCGCCTGTACGCCATGATCCACGACATGGCCTACCAGCACGCCCACGCGCATCTCATGCGCCGACAACGTCAAGGACCCGTCGAGATTGTCACCGAGATCGTAATTGCTACCGAGGGAGGCGACGACGTCCCTGAGCCCACCCAGAAGCCAATTGCCCTCCCTCCACCTGCCACCCGTGCTCGCGAGAGTACCACCGCTGCCCAGAACGATGACGAGCCCGAGGAGACAGCTAGGCCCACAAGAAGACCATCCTCTACTCAGGACTCGAACGACGATGACCAGCCTGCACGCCAAACCAGCCAGCCGTCCCGCCAGACCGATCAGCCATCTCGCCAGACCGACCAGCCATCGAGCTCGACCAAGACAGCGTCCACCCTGATGCTCGCAACAAAGTCTCCCGAACCAAGCCCAGCTTCATCTGCTGCAGGCCTCATCTCTGCTACTGCCGCCATTTCTGCCACAGCTTCCTCCACTGCTGCCCCCGGCTCCGACAGTGGCATGTCTACTGGCGCAATGGCTGGTCTCGCCCTCGGTATCCTTGTCGTCATCTGCGCTATCCTGACCGGAATCCTCCTTGTATACCGCCGTAAGAAGAAGCAGATGGCTGCTGCTGCTGCCGCAGAGAATGAGAAGACTGAGATGCGAAGCGCACCTCCTCCACCACCACCTCAGGTCATGGCCGCTGCCGCCCCAGCTGTTAGCATTCGTTCTGCCCACAGCGCTGAGACTGCGCCCCGTTTGAGCCTTCGCCCTGTTACTCAGTTCGACCCCAGCTTCGAGCAGCGCAAGAGTGCAGCAAACTTGCTCAACACTGGTGGTGCTGCTGGAGCCGCTAAAGCCCAGAGCCTCTCACCTTCGGCAGCTGCTGAGCGCCCAACGAGTGCCTGGGAGCGTCCTGGAGCATCCAACGCTCCTGCTGCTAACCCTTTCAAAGATCCTGACACGCCATCTGGTCCCCCACCTAGCAACCCCTTCGGAAACAAGGCTGCTGTCGATACTCAACAAGCCTCCATTCCGGATTCGCCTCCTAATGCCTCCCCACTGAACTCTGCCATGCACTCGTCAAGACCCAGCGCCAATTTTGCTGATCCCGCTGCAGCAATCGCTGCCGCTGATGCTGCCCCTGTCGCTGTTGCTGTGACTGCAGCCAAGTCAATTCCTCCTCCTACTTCTCAAGCCCCTACAGCCGAGCTCCCCGCCCCTCCGACAGCCAGTGCCAACTCCACAAACGCTCCGCTCAGTCCCCCAGCTACCGAAAGTCTCCCTGCGTCTCCTGGTCCCGCGCCCACTGGTCCTCCTCCTATCGCTGGCGCCGCTGTTGGTAGCGCCCCTCAGAGCCCGGCCCTCGCTCCTGGTTCCAACAACGTACATCGTGTCCAACTTGACTTTAAGCCTTCTATGCAAGATGAACTTGAACTTCGCGCCGGCCAACTCGTTCGCATGCTCCATGAATACGATGATGGATGGGTAAGCAGTCATCTTTACTTTGTCAGAATCAACCCGCTAATCATCCCTAGGCCCTCTGTATCCGTATGGACCGTTCTCAGCAAGGTGTCGTTCCTCGTACATGTCTGTCCAAGCACCCTGTCAAGCCCCGTCAAGGCCCTCCCCCAGGTAACATGCGCGGCCCTCCTATCCGCCCGCCCATGGGTCCAGCTGGTGGACCTCAGCCACGTCCTCTTTCGCCCGCTATGAACTCCCAAAGTCCTCGTCCCATGAGCCCCGGCCCTCGTCAAATGCAGCCTAACGGCAACGGTCCTCAACAAGGACCCCCTCGTGGTCGTGCCAATAGCAATGCTCCCCAGCAAGGTCCTCCTCGCGGCCGTGCCAACAGCAACGCACCTTTTGCTGGCCCGCAACGTTCCATGTCCCCCGGTCCTTACGGCGGCGGACCCCAGATGGGACCTCCACCTCAGATTGGTGGTCGTCAACGATCCAACTCGGCAGGTGGAGCTGGTAACCCACGACGTGGCCCAGCTCCCGGTCCTAGTCCTTTTAACCCCAACGCCCCAGCTCCTACCGGCCCTCTTCCCATTCCTGATCGGAAGCCGGTTCCTGGTATGGCGCTGTAAGCCGTTGAGCCGTCAGAGTCAGGTGTCTTTTTTTATGAGGAACGTTTCAGCGGGCTCTTGTTCTGATTTTCTTTTGTTTCCTCGATCTGAGATTGTATGCCTCTAGATCTGTGGCTATGTGTCTTGCTTGCTTAGCTTCTCTTCTTCATGCCTGCTTTGTCTCATTGACTCCTCTCTTTCTCTCATAATCTCTCATTCTCTTGCATGAAAGTTTAGCGAGTTTTACGAGGGGGAGATTGGGGCAAGCAGCGGCTACTTTTGCCTCTTTGCTTGCCATGTTTATACCCCCACCGAAGCCTCGTGTCAAACGCCCTTGCTACGAGGTATGTAGTGAGGGCCGGAAGCAGGCGAGGTCGAGTTTATTTTAGAAAAGAGGTCGAATAATGTCTTGAAGATATTTGTAGTTTTTTCTTGGTTAAAACCTGTCCGCTGGGAAGGGGGTTTCGTCTCGGATCAGGCTGGATTAGTACATAACCCTTTTTTTCTTTGCCTTCCCCCACCCCTTCCCGCCTCCAGCATTTTCAGCCACGGGGCGTCGGCACAAAGTTTGCTTGTGCCCGACCCCTTAGTGTATGCTGCTGGAGCAAAGTCTGGATTAGATAAGAGGGGAGGGCATTCAGGAATGAAAATGAAATACATCACATATTATTCGCCTCGGAGAAGTTAGGAAATCCCCCTCCGCACGCAGCATGTCGCATGTTTGAAGCAAACGCAATGTGAAATCCTCCTCCCACTCATAACACCAAGCGAAAGAGGTTCCATGCACTCATACTTTGCCCAAAACAGTGGGTTGAGTGTAATCAAATCGTAACTCGATACATTTCCGCCCCCCCCCCAATATATCTCCCATATCCCCGGTACCATCATCATCATCTCTCTTTGCTCAATACCCCATTTGCCAAGTAAAAGGTAATCACACTCTACCAATCATCTTGAAACGGGACTTACCCCCCCCCCCCCCATGTTCATATCGGGGGCGGGAATGAGCCCGGATGAGATGTTCTCCCGGGACCCGAAGGTATTCGAAGCCACTTGGAGATGATGTGGGAGTGGATTTGTAATTAGCCTTTTAGTGCCTGCGATAGGGTTTGTGGGTGCTAGGGTTAGGGAGGGTAAGGTGTGGGGTGAAGGTAAGAGTAGGAAGGAAGGAAGATAGTTGAGACTCGAGTTGGAATCTGGGGGGGGGGGGGGAAGAAAGATGGGAAAGGAATGTGTAGAGATTATGATATACTGTTATACTAGACTAGATTACAACTATAGTTGTTGAAGAATACAGAATCAACAATACTCACATGTTAATCATTACTGCGCTCTAACTTGCACCCGCCCTAACCGCCTGCTCGCTCTTTTCCTCCACCATAACCCCGCCATCACTGCTCGCCGCACTCTCCCTACTCTTCGATCTACTTCCTAAAACAGCCGGCGGGCTCAAGCTGCGCAGTCGCTCAATGGGGATTCTACCCTGTAGGCGACTTGCAGCCGTGGGATCCAGTTCCGCCAGCGCAACGGGCGTGGCTATGCTGAGCAGCTCGCCTATAGCTCCCAAGTCCTTGTCAAGCGGGTAGGAAGACATTGTGTCCGAAGACGGTGGGACGTTGGGTTGAGCGGTATGAGGAGCGTTGGTGAGTGGCGGATGCTGCGGGAGAGGCATAACGGATAGTTCATCGAGCCAACGCCGCGTAAGCCAACGCTTCGTTCTGGACCAGGCCCCAAATTCCTCGCTGGCGGGATCGTAGTCTTTGCCTAGCTTTGTCTTGTCTTTGCCGAACCAGCGGGTGATGAGGCGCCATTTTACGCTGCCCCACCAGCCCACGGGCACGACATCGTCGCGTGGGCCGCGGCGGGTCCAGAGGGTTGAGTGGTCAGTGGCGAGTTCGTGGTAGAGGGCTTCGTAGACACCGCGGCGAATGGGGTTTTGGCGCTGGCTGGCGAGGCTGTGCTTGACGCCGTACCAGAGGATGAGGACGGTGAGGAGGACGGGGAAGGAGACGATGAACCACCATTTTATGTCGGGCATGGACTCAAAGGTTGAGACGTTCATACCGAAAAAGCCAACTGTAAAGGTGAGGGGGAGGAATCTATGAGGTGGTGAGTATCGGGAACTTGACAAAGGATGGAGAGGGTGCAAGACTTACATGAATGTGATCCAGCTCAGGCGCCACATGCTGAGCCCTAGTTGGAGAGAGTGCCGAGCATCTCTGATTCCGACGCTCTTATACATTAGATCCGACAAAGACGATGTCGGTAGTATGATGTCTCTTTCCCATCGCCCAGTCAACTTTTCAATCTCCTCTGGCATGGAGCCTAGCCAGGCCTGGCCAAGTAATTCTTTGGGGTTGGTGCCAGAGAGGTCATGCAAATGACTGACCATTTCCTTGACGATGTCAAGGTGGATGTATATCAGACGCTCGACTTTGAGCCACTGCGCACTGTTTTTCCAGAGCTCAGGGGCTCGCGACTCATCCGCAGGATTCTCGTAAACTGAAAACAAAGCTTGTTAGTAAAGCCGAATGCATAGTAGCAGAGCTTACTTCTAGAAAATCAAACTTACTCTTGTCTTCCAGAATCCCTACATGGGTTTCACACAACCCCATAAACTTTTGCCAATTATACGACAGCGCTTTGAAGATGTCCTGCAGTATGAAATCCATACACTCGGCCGTCAAATTCTCCTCATTATCTGTAGGCAGATAAAAAGACAAACGTCTCCATCTCGATTCTATCTCTTGCCTTGCACCAACAAGAGTATCTTTGACGGAGCCAGTGATCGAGTTCTCAAACAGGATAATCGTATTCCCATTGTCCAGGGATCTGAGTTTGGGAATGTACTTATCCGGGTGTTCGTTAGCATCAACGTTACCATAGCTTTTCTTCAGCCGCATGTACTCGTCCCATGCCTCTTCATCATATGGATTCGGTATGTCAGGGTCGACAGCCTGCCCAGGCGTGCCGTCACTCAATTGGACATAGACACTCAGCCGTTGCACATAAACGTCGAAGCCGTATCTTGGCTGGTCCTCCTCATCGTAGTGATTGAGTTCCATAATAGACTTGTTGCTGCCGGGGAAAGGCAAGCGTATATACCTGTCGTACGGCTTCAGATAATCAGCGCCAAACGCAGCACGTGATATGCCTCGCCATGGGTCACGTGAGGTGCGAAAAGTGCGGCCATTGAGCACAGGTTTACCACCACGCTGCTGTGGCTTCTCGTAACGCGCCCAGCGTCCAAAATTTGTGCCTATCAGATCATCATTGGCGTCGATGTTAAACTTCCGGAGAAGGAAACGCGTCGCCCAACTGGCATTTTGCACGTGGATGACGCGTAGAGCTGCCTGGCCGGCAAGATCCTCTTTACGGTAGAAGCGGCGTAGGCTATCAATGTCGCAGAATTCCTGAGCTACGATTTTCCTTCTGCCGTCTGAATGTTCTTTGGCAACGTAATCTATGAGCAGTACGCGGCCTTGCTGCCAGCTATCCTTGGTCCACGGTTGGCGCCATTCGAGGTTGGGACTGTGCTTACGGCGGTGGCCAAAGGTGGCTCTCCGAGTTCCCTGTGGCTGTGTTTGAGAATCTCCGAGGTTGACAGGTTCGCGCGCAGACGTATAAGCTCGTGGCACTATTTCAACGGTCAGCAGTCAGTCTGAGCAGCGATTCGTGCTTCTTCTCAGCGCAACACCTAAGCCGAAAAACATTGTGATGTGACCAAGGGCCAATAAATCTTCAAGCAGATTTGCAAAGACACTGGAAAACTCCTGTTTTCCCTACTTCTCTTATTGGAACAACTTACAATCCATATCGTCCAGCTCAGGACTCGGCAGCGGTTCTTCGTCTGTCGACGTATCCTGCACAGCGATGCGCGAGGGCAAAGGTGGGGAAGGTGGCTTCGAGCCCAAAGCTCTCGACTCGGACATACTGTACCAGAAGCTTCCGTCGGTCACTTGAGGTTGCAGCGGCTTGGCTTACTTGGACCTCATTCAAGGATCCCTAGCGAAAGGTGGATTGTACGACAACGATGCAGTGCAGTGGGAGGACAGCATCAAAGGTGGCATGGAGCGGCTTCTGTAACGGAACAGTACAGTGGCTGTGTCACAGATATCGCAGGAGCACTTGTCAGTCGCCATTATGTGCGCGCATGACTGTGTTATGTTGTGTGGAAGTTGTGGCTGACCCCTTCGCCTTCGCAGGTAGTAAGGCTGACCAGCAGGAGCAGTCTCCACTCTGCAGCTAGGACCGCACCGCATGTGAGCCTTGCTGGCCCCACTACTAGGCGTCCAGTCCAATATGCGGTTTGCTTGGATTACGAGATTGAGGCTATTGGGTAACATCATGTGCCACTTGTTACCGATGTCATCAAATACAGGCTTACAGTAGAGTATGAATGTAGCATCAAAGTGATGATTATATAATATTGAATATCAGATGACGGTATGTACTTCTGGTCTGTACATATGTTTATGCTACCAAACGCCTTCCTGTACATTGCCATTACTGTACTGAGTACTGAACGCTCCAAATTACAATGCTATCTTCCCCCACGCGTGAGCTATTATATCTAACGAGTAGAAAGCGCTGAGTCGGTGGTGATCCTAAAGGACCGAGTGAAGGTATAAAAACAACAGGTGGGTAGTATAGAGTCATGACATCGTGTCGGGTTGATGCAGCGCCAATAGTGCGCAGAATGGGTATTAGCAAAGAGACAAGGTAAAAAGCAAAGTCGGTAACTAAGGTTTTGATCCACTCAAAGGCGGATGACAAGAGAATGACAAGCGAATGCATAAAAGCATAATCTCAGTGGTTATAATCATTTGCACTGGCGACTGCGCTCATGTATCTCTTCGTCACTGAGCGCAGCCAGCCAGAGACATTTGCTGAGAATGTGAGGTTCGGCCTTGAACGTATACTTGGAGCTGGCCTCGAGTAGGCGCAGGAGGTTCTTGACAATAGTGGCGGCCGTGTGATGACGGTCAAAGTTGACGAGGCGTTCGCCGTCGACAGGCGGTGCATCGATGAATGCGGGCTTTTGCGCGTTGTAGATGAGGTCGCGAGTGTAAACGCCTGTTGATGGTTAGTTAGCTTTGATCCTATTAATGTCATAAGCGTACTGACCAATGAATGGAATGCAGCCATCCTCGACAGAGGCTGTCTCCATCTCGAGTCGCAGGTTATGGAAGTTCTTCATTGGCTGGACCAGAGCCTCCAGCTCGGTCATAACCAGCATCTCAGCCGCAGGGACCAAAGCCCAGGTCTTTTTGAGACTCGAAATGTCGTTGGATATCAAGGCTATCGCGATTTGATACATAGTGGCGTAATTGCGATATCGTCTGGCGTGGTTGGCGATGTGAATGAACTTGGTGATACATTGGGCGCGTTCGTAGATGTTCTCGGTAAGCAAACACTCGGATACAACCCACTTGACAACAAGATTGAAGCGTGCAATAACAACGTCAACTCCCCTGGCTTCCTCGGTTCGTAGGTATTGCACCCAGTCACGGATCTGTGGTGAGGATTGCTTCCAACGCAGTTCGATAAGCTCTTTCCAGTCAATCTCATCTAATGCATCCTTTTCGACAATGGTGAATTGCTGTGCGAGAAGGTCCGAGTCGTATGCCATGACAAAAGGCAAATGAGTGGTTGGTTCCGGAGGGTCGGCAGGGACGGTTTGTGGCTCAGCTGGAGAACTGGCTGGTCGCTCAGGCTGTAGATTCCCTTGTTGGTTGGAAAGTGAGACTGTGGGTGTAAGACCAGGCGTCGGGAGACCTTCATCAAACACTGTAGAATTGGGCAAAGAATCGTGCAGCTGAGGAGCCGTGGGAGGAGGCGTAGGCGGATGGCGCATGGGGTGGGTTGGCAAGTTGCCTGGCACACCCTCTGGAGTTTCTTGTTGACCATCCAGAAAATGTGCAGCAGATGTGGAGAAACCATCACTGAGGTCTTCATCGTCATTCATCAGGAAAGATTCGCGGACATAGGAATGTGCAGGCAGGGTTTCGCCAGCGGGTATCCGCCTCATGCTGTCCGTCTCCTCGATGTATTCAATAGATGAATTCATTGACGAAGACGTACCAGGTGGCCGGGCAGCTTGCAACGGAAAAGCGCCAACTTGCAGAGGCGAAGGTTTAGCCGAAGATGCGATCGAATCTAGCGTTTGCCCTCGTTGTAGACTTGGCATCTCACTAAGATGTCGGTCGAGAAGGGGTATGGAAGAGTACGAGTCGGTTGATTCACCAACGGAGGTGACTGGTGGCACACGGCCATTAAAGTTTTCGGCCGATAGCCGATACATGCCTTGACCGTCAGTTTCAGGAGGAGCCAGCGGGCGATGGAAGACGTCATCAGTTGCAAGGTAGTTGTCGTGCTCGGAAGTATCAAGACGAGAACTCTGACCGAAGCTCTGCGTTGCACGGTGATGTTGTGCGAAATCAATCGTAGTTCTTTGCGAGGGTATGCTTGGCGACTTCTTCTCGTATCGCCCCTCCAACTTCATTAACGCTGACTCGACTCCACCTTCATCGTCGGTATCATCGGGCAGGGCAGCAAGTTTTGCTACTTCGGCCTCAAAGGACGGCCTGAGGTTGGGTTGGGATGAGTGTGTATCCACTAAGGAGATTGGCTTTCTTGGAGTTTCCGCTTCGGGTGGTCCCTGAACCTCATGAGACAATTCAGGGTCTGAATCGATAAAACGGTCAGCGCGTAGGATAACAGAATTAGTGATTGAGTGTGTGTGATTTGACACGGAGCCGGTAGAGTACGGTCGCTGTACCTGTTCGAGATCGTGCACATTGTCCGCAGCACGGAGGTCGCCACCTGGTCGTCGGCGAAGCTGTCGTGTTGGTACAGCTGCTTCGACTGTCGGCTGACGATCGAGAAAGAAGGGATCGTTATCAGATGACATGGTCTGGAATGTAGCCACACTTGCGGGACCTCGTCGTCTACTCAGCACGCTGTTGTAAGAGGCATGGCGCCGAAGAGAGCCTGCACGTGCTAACGAATTCTTGACTGAGCCCTTGCGCCGGAAAGAATGCATCCCTTCTGGACCTGCGGACATGGACCGTCTCTCCCTCGCATTAGACTGTCTAGTAGGAGTACGTGAGCGGCGGTACTCTTCTGTGGCAGTGTGGGGGTCTGGATCGTCATAAACATGAGAGTGTTGTATCGAGTTGGCGTCATCGGCTTGGGATGCATCATTTGATATGCCTCGTTGGTGACTGTCCAGCTTTGCCGTTACCTTGTCGAGTTCAGTGGGCAAGGCGCCTGTAGTGGGTAGAGGTGGCGCCCCGGTATCATCAATGATGACAATCGATTTGCTGCCGCTAGTGATGTTGCTGTGCACGCGAGGGTCCGGTTTACGGTGTGGCTGCTGATGGTCGTTCTGGGTTGGAGTTTCACGTCCATCAAACTCGAATTCGAAACCGTTAAGACTAGGAGCGTCGCCATTATCGAGGTCTTGCCCCTCGCTTTGCAGTTGCTCTTCTACCGCTCTTCGAAAACTTTCAGCTACTGTAGCTGCTAGAACATCGACACGCATCTGAGGCCGCGGTCGAGTAGTATGTCGTTTCTGTACTCCCCCTGACATCGAGACGGCTGGGGCGGCACCTGGATTCGAGGATCGCCCATAAGGTGGCTGTCGCTGCTGCAAAGATCCGCTCAAATGGGAACCTACGCTCACTTGCTGACGAGTGCTCAGAGCACGTCGTACACTGCCCAAGATTTTCTTCATGCCTGGTGAGTTGGCCTGTCCTGGTCTTTGGAGTTCGCTTACGTCGAGGTCTTCGGACTCATGGAAATGGCGAGATGGCGCGGTTCGTAGAGTTTTGACTTGGAAGTACGGAGTGGTTGGCTGGATGAGCCCGCCGCGCACAAGAGTGCCGGGCATGTTGGCTACAGCAGAAATGGTGTAATCAGCCGGTGCATTTTTAGGTAAGGACAATGGGGCCCTGCTGTCTCTGAGGGCGTCAGAGAAACTGCCGCTACGCTTGTGGGCTCTGGCTGGACGTTGGCTGTTCTTCATAGACACTGGTTGCTGCGGGCTGCCTGCTAAACGAGCCGTGGCAGTAGAAGGAGGATTGACTGCTGGTACAGGGTGTGGATACAGAGGCAGTTCGACATTTTGGTCGTGTTTGTTTACCCCCCGCTTTGGGATTGAGCAGGATAAAACGTGCATGCTCCGCTCACTTGCGGGAGATAGTGGCACCTGAGCACTTTCATTGTCCTGTGATGGTAGAAAGGGAGTGCTCATTGAGTTTTGAGGTGTATGGCGAGATCTTTGCGCCCAGTCCATGTACCGACTAGCAAAGTGATCGCTTGGGTTTGATCCAATCGTCTCCTTGGTGTCGCGTACAGCAGCCCGCGGAGGTGTACTGGGCATGGGCTGGATAACAGGGGGTTCTTCAAACAACATTTGCGATCCCTCATCGGTACCACCTGGGAGTAATGGATCGTCTGCATAATTGCGGCCCACAGGGTCATTGGTTTCCCAATATAATGCACAAGTACGTCTCCAGCACTTCTTCAGCTCGCCTACAATGTTGATATCTCCTCCGCCTCCGTCTTTGCGGGCACGCAGATCACTGTACAGGCTGTTGACAAGGTCGCAGAAAATGACTCGTAGGCGGTAGAGTGGCATGAAGTCATCGACAAAGTAATTGAGTATCCAGTGACGAAGGGCTACGAATGTGCGCACGCGGACAATGCGACCAAAGTCATCCTGGCGGTCGACAGCCCATCGCAACCGGGCAATGAGGTATGCGACTAGATCGCGGGAGCACAGGAAGGCACGGAAGGTAAGAAAGAAATCGGACAGCAACTCGTAATCGAGGAAACTTGGCGAGGTGATGTGAGCGACTAGTCGGGAAGGCGTGGCTGCAAGGATGTCGCCCTTAGCATTGAAGCGTACCACGGCCCTGTCGTCGGG